GGTTAAAGCTCATTAAATAATTGAATTACAAAGAATTTTTGATTATTAATGAAAATTTCAATACATCGAAAAAATATTGCAATCAATTAATTTTCATTCATTTAAGGCAATAATTTAGATTTAGAAATAAAAGAGATAATTAAATTGACGAAGGATTTGAAAGCTTTTTAGCAAATCACGTGTTATTTAACTATGATTCATCGGATGACTCATTAAATATAATGTTTTTGTTGTCAAGCTACGAGTATATCAAGAAGGATAATTAATTTTTGATGATTTTTAAGATGAAGTAAATAAAGCAATTGAATAAATTACGTTTTTAGCTAAAACAAGGAAAAAATAAAATTAATTAAAACCTTTCCTCTTTTTATATACTGCAATTGAAACGTTGAATAAAACTGATTTTAATGGTGAGGTGAAATAAAACAAAATATCTTGACAAATAATTCGTAAACAGAAACAGAAACATCTAGTACCGGTATCTCTTAATAGGATGGTAAATAAAATACATACATACATACTTGTATAAGTGCTACAAATAAGAAGACAATTTCTATACTACGTGATTCAATTCACGTAGCGCGCGTACCCAATTCATTTTAGTATTAATTTTAGTTGATCAAAATATCAGAGGAAAATTTAAAATTTGCAATAGCAAAGTTTGTATGCACATACATACATATGTGTATGCACATGTACAGATAAGAATCAGTAGCTAAGTACTCAATTGTCGTTATCCAGGACTATAAAATTTGTCAAAACCAATTTTTTGTATTTTCTAATTAATACCTGTTAAAATATTTTGAAATCTATACCTAGACTATCTAAGTACATGATTTATGAAAGCTAGTTTAAAACTATTAAAAACCATTTTCAAAATATTGTGCAACTCATTTGCTAGACAACTTTTTGATTAAAATTATGCTAAATCATTAATAAGAATTGAAATTCATGAAATATCATCAAGTTGACGAAATACACACAATAACGGTTGGTTATTTAGTTATTATATTATAGATTTTTGTTCTTTGTATAATTTCTAGGTAATCGTTATAAATTTCATGGTAAATTCTGTTTTTTATTTTAGAATCTGCTTGTAGTTATATTCAGGTGACAAAAAGCCTATACGGTAAAACGGGAAATCCTTTGGACTTTTTTGAAATTTGAAAGCTATAATAGGCTTCCATTAAAGATTTCTGCTAAGTAGATCTTTTTACAAATACTCATTAACTAGATTTTTGTAAAATTACTACGAATAAATTTTTAGACTTTAATAATTAGATATTCTGAAAGAGAGTAGAAAGGCGTGATGGCGCGCTTCAAAAACGGTTCTCTAATAAAGAATTTCAGCTTTTAAGACTCAAATATTATAAAATTTCGTTAATATTGTAAATGTGAAATTTGATTTAATCACAACGGAATGTCGTTCTACGAAATTATTACAAAACATAAAATTATTAGTCTTACCGTATTACTTCAATTTTCTAACTAAATATAATATTGTTAGTTATAACTAACTAATTGTGGTTAAGCATAATTTAACTTCATCTGCATATACTTAATAGTTTTTATAATTAAATTTAAATTTGGATTTTGATCACATTTTAACCACATTAATAATTATTTCGAATAAATTTAAATTTTAAATATAATAGAAAAAAATTTCAATGTGTAAAAATAATTTTGAAATTGTTTTTTAGTTAAGATAAGAATTGTACGTGTATATGTATATGTATAAATATTTAGTTTCATATTTGTTTTTAGGAAAAAAAGTAAATTTTTTACGTATTTGAAGACAGTTTATTTTAGAATTCCTTATATTAAATCAATGTCATTGTGCTACCCAGGCGTATAAAACCACAGAAACGCAATTACAAAAAGTGCTATTACAAAACATTCAATTTGTGTACGACTTTTTCAATACATGATGTAAGTACATTCCATTCAGAATATCTACATAATTCTTGGATAAATGTTTGAAGTTCTCATTAAAATATACATACATGCAACATCAATACTGCTAAACTACATTCAAAAATTATTATTTACAAATTAATGAAACAATACTCAATTAATTGCCTCCAGAATTAGAATATAAGAGCAAATTTATTTTTATCATCTATTCTTTTATTTTTAAAAAATTTAAAAATAGTATGTTTGTATACTTATAAAAATGCTAGAGCTATTATTTTGCATTTTTATTTTCGCATTTTTGTATACATATGTATGTATGTGGTATATAAACTAATTTTGTTTCAAAATTACATCACGTGAATTAATATCTTTGAGGTCAACTGACATTTTTATTGTTTGATTCAGAAAGTAGATATTTAAGTACATATTATTGTGGTTTTAATGTTTAATAACGGTTTATCTACCTTATAACCTTCTATTGTTTATTTTTGTACTACGAACTTTAATAATAAAATTTTTTACGTTATACCAGTACGTAAGTCCTTTCCATTTTTTTACGCAATTTTATGAAATCGCATGTTCCAATATTTCTTCTTTATTTAAAACCAGATAAATATTTATAATTCATTTTACATACATATATACATACATAATATTTATGTAGAGAATTAACTCAAGAATATCCTAGAAATGAATAATAATAATGGAAATATTTCCGTTCATAATTAAATAGATATTTTTTAAAAAATTATTAAAAAGCAACTAAATAACAATTCGAATAACAGAATAAAAATTAAAAACGATTGCGATGTAGTGGGAAAAACCAATTTAAATATTCATTCAAATTTTATAGTAACTGTGTAAATATGTTGATATGATGACAAATACATTTACGTGAATATCGTACTTATATAAATAAATAAAAGAGCGAAAGTTTGTGTTTCTAGTACATACACATATACATATTTCGTTTTTTTTTCAGATTTGTGAACAAGCTCATAACTGAAAAAGTTTATTCAGATACTAGAGAGTAGAGATTTTAATACACGCAATACTGCAAAACTATAACTGCGGAATGCAATACGGCAAAAATATAACTTGATGAATATGAAATACATATATTTTTAACTATTATACAAAATCAGATTTTAATTATTCTACAATAGAGTTCACCGATGGCTCCAAAAATGGTGTCATATATAAATCGTATCGACTTCCTAACCAGTCGAGTGTCTTTCTTTGCGAAAATTTTCGCCTTACTAAAGGCGTGCGAGAACGGCAGGGTCTCTTATTATACATTGTCTCTTAGAAAGTTTATACATTTTTTATTATTATTACATTACATTACATTTGAAATATAATTTTAATAAACTAAATAACAAAACTTTAATAAAATGTTACAATCGGGCTTTTAACTAAAATAGGTCAACGATTATAGCTTATATATAACGGAAGCCTTTATCTTTTATTTTCAAAACAGATGTAATCAATGCAAGTTTCTTTACCTTACCCATTGAAAACGCGAACCACATTTAAAACTTAAAATTCGCATTTGCCTGTGTTTCAAGTTGTTTTTTTTTTTCGAAAACTTTATCAATTATTTAATCATTTTACTTTGACAAGAAAAATGTTTTTTGAACTCCATTTATCTGGATATTTAAATTTAAATTGAATAAGAAAACCAGATACAAATCGAAATTTCTAATTAAAAGATCTAAATTTTTAATTTATAATCTAAAAATTTAATACAAATGTTTAAGAGTTGAGCTCGTAAATTTTTAAAAATTTTATATTTAAAGTAACACTCGTACTCATTTACTCACCTCTCAAATATTATTTTAAAAGTGTTTATGTATTATGGCGAAATTCATATTTTTTATTTTTGTTTTCAGATTTTTAAAGTTTATATTAATTTTCCGTTTCATTCATAATGTTTGTTCCCCATTCGGTTATGAAATAGTAACAATCTTAATACATTTTTTTGTAAAGGACTCAATATTAACTCATAGTTTGATAATATTTGGGAAATAACTTAAAATCACTTGTTTTTATAATAGAAACAAAGCTGTTTGCACTTTTAGAGTTAATTTGTAATAAAAATATTAACCTATGTTAACAATGTCAAAAGTATTATTAAATTAATTTTATGGATTATGAAATTATTTAAACTGTTAGGACAGCAGCTGTTATAACAGCAATACGAATACTATATTTCTACTAGATTTTTAGAAAAAAGAATTAAAAAATAAAGTTAATTTTTTTAAACATGTATTTTAAAATGGGAATCTCAAATCCAGCATCACTATATATGTGTGTATATGTGTCCTCACCTAAATTACATCATGTGATTAAAAAAAGATGATTAATCAAATAAGAGTATTATGAAATTATTGCATACATACATATGAAAGTTTTGTAATTTTACAAAATAAAATTTAAACATACATACATATCTTACATAAATATGTAAATATTTTGTGTATACGCACTTAATTATTATTTAGTTCTTTTATAGCTTGATTACAATTTATTTCAAAAAATAACTAAATATAGTAAACAACACATTTAGTAATCAATGCCACTTCATTGCATTTTATATACATACATATGTATATACACTTGTCACTTATTCTATCAGTTTCTTGAAAATTCTTATTATTGTCGGCTATATTAAAAATGATCAAAAAACAAAAAATTCCTGTATGGCGTAATAAAATAAAATATTTGTATAGTATTGCTGTTTATAAGTAAAAGAAGACAAAAGTGAGTAAAATACGCTACTATACCAGTGCAATTAATCACGTTACTAAAAATTATACTTACATATAGTAAAATTTTATTATGATTGTATTGTATATTATTATTGTTATCGCACTTATAGCAGATATAGAGCTGCTATGAAAATCACAAACAATATAAAAAAAACAAAAAATTATGTATGAATGAGACTTAATATTTTGAAATTCTTTTGAAAATTGTGCTAGTGTGTGTGTTTTAAAAGTATCTTAAAAAACATCACAATTCGTAAAATCGTAATTCGTATTTATATGACGGAAAATATATTTTATCATTTAGTAATTTAACTTGTGCGATCAAGAAAAGTAATATTTAGCTAGATTTTTAAAATTTTGAAAACCAAAAATTTTTGTTCTTTTTTTTTTTTTTAATTAAGTTTTTAGATAGGTAAGAAAAATTAATACAAAAATTTTTTGTTAGAACATTTTCAAACATGCTTATTAAATTTTTTGTTCTTGATAATAAAAAAGTGCTGATGTCATATCGCTTTAAGGTTAATGAATAAAATTAATTAACGTAGGTAGAATAAATAAACGTACATATGTATGTATATAAATGTTTGTGTGTTCGGATATGTATTTATACAAGAGTGATGTGTTTATCAAAAATAAGTTCATAGCAATATATGTACAAATATTGCTAAGGTTGCTATAATTTAGACATGTTCGTATGTACGTACGTATAAATTAAATTTTATAATAACAAAATGAATTTCACAATATAAAATTCAAGTTTGATTTTATTACGCGATCAGCCATTTTAATTATCATTCGAAAACGTAATTCATATCAGTACTTACATGCATACATACATATTTTAAATAGTAAAATTATATTGGAAAAACGTGTGTATATGTATGTGAATTATTTTTACTCATTATAGAGCTTAAGCTTACGTTATATTTTATAAAAGCAGTTTATAAAATTGCTATTGTTTTCAAAATTAAAACTAAAAATTTCAAAAAGTTTCATAATTAAATGTAAACATGTTTTTTTTTTTTTTGTTTTTCTTAATACAGAAATTTCGCAATTGCTTAAAAAATGATGCCATGGAAAATTTGTATATATGTACATATGTACATAAATATGTATGTATATATGTATGTATTTCTCTATTTAAAATTTTTTATTTGTTTTGTTCTTTTAATTCAATTTTGTTTAATCTAAAAGATATTTTATTTTCTAAGGAATTCAATAAAGTCAATAAAATATATGTACATATATATATACATATATTTACGCAGACCCGTTATTATATGTATACGCATATTTATGTACATACATACATACATGTAAATATTTCATATGCATGAGGAATGCAAAACATGGTTATAAGGGGGAGTGTTTGTTCTATAAAATTTTAGTTTACATTTTGTACTTGCACATATGTATGTATGCACATACATATTTATATAAATACATTATAAATGTATCTATACATGGAAAATCCAAATTTCGTTTTATCATAAATTTTCCTTATCAAAAAATTTTAAGTTCCTTAAAATTATAGAGTAAATATACGTAAATTATTGTGACTTATCGTTTTTTTTTAAAATGTAGTAGATTAAAAAGTAATTATGTAAAACGTTGTTTTTGTTTTCATATTAACCGTTAATCAGAATGGATAAATTCTGTAATTGCTGTGCGAAATATCAAATCTTTAAAAGTAAATTATTTATCGTACAAATCAAAGACGATTGTATATACATACATATTCTTTATAATTGTACAAACATAACGTAGTTTAAAAAACGTTCTTTGGATTTCTTAAATTACACACATATTACTTATAAATCTGTACTAACATGTTAAATACAAAGTATTTTTGCCATGATTAGTAATGAAATTAGGTATAAGTTTTTAGAATTTACGTTTAGAATAGAATGCTTTAAAATTGTCAATATTTTGATTATGAAACCTAGGCTAGATACATACATGCATATATAAAATTTTATAATAAATATGCACCCGTTAAAGATGACTCATTTTAACATTGCTTATGTATAAGTACATAATATAATATAATTTATGTGTATGTATTTATATAAGTAATGTTTATATATTAAACGTAAATTATTCCAATAGATTCAGTTATTATTTTCAATCCTGTGGTTTAAGTACAAATATTTTTTAACAGAACGTAAAAATATTTTGAATTTGAAACAAAAAAGCATTAGAACTATTTGAACTTCTAATATATTTGGAAATATTAACACACTTAATACGTAATTATATTGTTTACCAAAAATTCATTGAGTGATTCAACAATATATTTTATTATTAAATTTATAAAAGAGTTTGCTCACAAATTTTCACAATTTCATTCAATTATTAATTAAAGTATGAATTCTCAGATAATTTTAAATATTCTAAAAATTAATTCATTATTTTTCTTTTTTCATTGCAGATAAAAATGTTGAATAACTATGATTGTGATAATGATAATAAAAAAATTGAAATTACTTTAAGACATAGTCCTGGTGTGCCTAATTCTACTTTACTATATATTAAGACTATAATACAATCAGCAATTACTAAATCTAATGGTTTTCCTACTGAGGTTCCTAAAGATGATTTTGAAGAGACCAGTAGTGAATCAAACGAAAGTTGCAGCAGTAGCCATTTTCCAATTTTTCATTCGGCATTTTCTAATCCTTCGACTTTAATAGAACAATCAGCTATCATAAAAAATCGAGGACGTGGACGACCATCTAAAAGTCACGAAGAACCAATGGATGTTGAACAATTTGAAAATGCGACGCCAGAAAAAAGGAAATATCTAGAATTAAGATATAGGAATAATTTAGCATGTAGATTGGCACGAAGGAAACGAAAGCTGCAAGAAAAGGAAATTTTCACTGAAGAAGTCAATGAAATTCAAAGAAATGAAAGATTAAAGACTGAATTAAAAAAGTATCAGTCAAAACAAATAACACTGATAAATTATTTAGAAAAATTAATAAAAGTTAGCGATTCAGAAAACTCATACGAAAATTTACATAGCTTTAAACTATATAAAATGAAAGCTCATAAAGTGATAGCAAGTCATTTAAATGGAAATAATTTACAAGGAACTCAACATTGGATGTCACAAAATTCACCAACCGAAATCATTTCGCATTAAAGTTGAAAATTATCGATGGAACATACGATTAATTAAAAAGTGTACTCTACTCTTTCGTGTAGTTGAAGGTGAAGTCAGAAAAACGGAAAATGGTAGAAAATGTGAGTGACATGTTAAAGTCAGAGCATTTATTCAAATTATTTACATATAAGAGAATATTTATTGTAAATGAAGAAGATACACATCTAATGGCTAATTTCTGAAACAATTGAAAATGAATGAAGAAGTGAAGCCAAAAATGAAGCGCAGAACCAATTTTGTTTCAAAAACAAATCGTATGTTAACGCTTTAAAATAAATTAATAAAAAGTATTTAAAAAATTATTAAAAAATTTTTTGCACTTAAGTACATATTTGTTTTAATTTTTTCATAAAAAATCTTTAAGTTTTAAGTAAATATGCAATCTGGGGTCTCATTTTGTATCTGATCTGTTAATTGATCGGGCGAGAACAAATGAAAGTGAATGAATATCACATTTATGTATGTGACAACACAAATAAGTAATTTTAAAATGAAAAAATATTTTGCGTTTTATCAAAGACTTTAAAAATATAATATTATAAGTAATTATAAAGTCTTTGGTTTTATGTAGTTCGCATTTTTCAAAAAGCATACAAAATTCCTTGACCATTATCAAAAAAAATTTTTTGAATGACCCGACATGATATTATGAAAAAAGTTAGAAAATCTAATTAAAAATGTAAGAATAATGAGAATAATGGTAACTTAAGAACAGTGAGTAAGGTAGTGACTTAAGAACTTTAGAACATGTATTGATTACAATTATTACAAAAAGTAGCATTCAAGAAAGAGTTTAAAATTCATTTAAGCATCTTTGAAAAATTATAATTAAACGCATTTGAATAAAAAAAAGCAGTTAATTACGAACAGGAAAATTGTAAGATCTTCTATATTGTTTTTTAAATAATTATGTATTCGATTTTGTGGAACTTGGACACATTTAGAAATTTCTAAACTTCTCTTTTCTTCGACACATTATGTTATTCTAGGATTAATTGTCTCCTTTCGACACATTTGAAATTTATCTCTTATGGTTTTATTTTTCTTTTGACCATTTTTTCAAAATATTATCCACATATTTCCATAAATTACCAATTTATATTTCTCCTCAATTCAGAACCAAATTTTATTAATGAAATTGAAATGTATAATCAAGGATTTTTTTATTAATAACCAGTAAATACATAAAAAAAAGATACAAAAATAAAAAATTACAAATAACCTTTTTTTTTTCGAAGTGTTCAAGAAAGCATTACCAATCAAGATCATTCTTTTCAATTTTTTCAATTGATTTCTTAGAATTAGATCCATGTTTCTTTAAATATGGACAGATATTTTTATTAAGACATGAATCACATTTAGGTTTTATAGCTTGACAAATTGTTTGTCCAAAACCAACTAACAAATGATTAATTTCACCCCAAAGTTCTTTTGGAGCCCAAGATTCTAATTCTTTTCTTGTATCTTCAGGTGTTTTTGTTTCCTTTTTAACCCATTTCAATCGATTTGATATTCTATGGACGTGTACATCAACACCAATTCCTATGGATAAAACAATTTTTATTATATACTGATACATATACATATATATTTATGTACTTAACTAATTAAAAACTATAAGTAAATGATCAGTGATCATGATCCATTCTTCACACAAATGTGAATAAAATTCACTAATATTTTTAATTCTACTGATACTACATATTATTTGTATATTTAACGTCCGAATTAAAAAAATTTCAATGTTGGCAATTTCGATAGACAAATACGAAAGAAAGGATCCTGAATTACAGAGATAAATTACTTTACTAATAATTAAAATTACGGCTTTTGAAAATGTGCAAAATGAAATGAGAATACTAAAAAATTTTAAAAAAATATCGGAAGTGCAACAATTTATGTATGTAGCATTGTTCTTGCAAATTCTGTTACTTCGGAATACTTCGGCCAATTAGCTAATTTAGCTATATATCTAATTTTAATAGAGCTACCGTTTTTTAGGGAAATTTCTTTAAATAAATATATACATACTTATGTACACATGTAAGTATTTGGAAGCAAATTTTTCTTAAAGACCTTAAAGTTTAACGAGTAGAATAATACATTTTACATATGTATATATTTATATATACATATCTAATAATTATTAAATTTTTTGTAGAAATGCTAATGTATGCAAATGGATTTCCATACTAATTTACAAATTTCTTACCTGTTACTATATTCCATGCTGTATTCATACAAATATGTGCTATTTTTGAGCTAACTCCTGGTAAATCCATTAATTCTTCCAATGAACCCGGAATATCTGAATTGTACTTATTTATTAAAATTTCACATGTTTTAACAATATATTTTGTTTTATTTTTGTAGAATCCGACAGGTTTAATTAGTTCTTCTAGAGTTTCCTTCTCCTTTTTGATCAGGTTCTCGGGTGTTAATGGTATAATATTTTCTTTTAACCTAGTCATGGCACCATAGGTTACTTCATCTTTAGTACGTGGTGATAATATTAAAGAAAGCAGTATATTAAATCTTTTTTCTTTTTCAGTAGCATTTTCGTCATAACATTTATTGCATCCCATTGTATCTACGGGAGCAGGTGATTCCGATCTCATCTTCCTAATGTTATCAAGTATTATTTCCCAGTTTAGTGGATTCCACTTTTCATCTTGCGCCAATTCTTTTGTTTTTATTTCTTTCTTTTCTTCTTTTACAACATCTAATTTTTTTACTTTTGATTGATTTAGTCTAGCTTTCTTTACAGGAGACAAGCTTTCTTCTTTTTCAACTTCTTTCTTAATAATATTTCGATTTTTATTGTTTTCGTTAACCGCCTTTTTACTTGAGTTAGCTTTTTTACTAGGAGAAAAGTATGAGCTTTGAGTTTCTGATTCGGACTCTATAGGTTTCTTGGATCTCAAACGCTATATAAATTTCAAAATAATATAAAAGTCAATTTTTAAAACTGAAAAAATATTTAATTTTATGTATGTATATCATGTACATTAGGGGCAGACTTGACGCCTTGCTCGGGAAGAAAACAAATTGTCATTAGGAGCTACAGAGGGATGTCATCATGCGAAACTGTTCCTCCCATATTGCTCAGTTCTCCTCAGGGCTGCTTGGGTTGAACCGAAATCGCGTTCGTACAAATAGTGGTTTTTTTACTAGTCATTTTGCTGTGACCTGCCAGGACGGCGAGGAAACAGCCAGACACATTCTGTGTAACTGTCATGCTTTGGCTATCAGGAGATGCAGATGGTTTAAGTGGGGATTTCTCAATGTGGAACTCATGTAAAACTCCCCAAGAGATATTTCCGGGTTTTTGCTTGGGACCGAAGTAGTTTGTGTGGGATATGGGTGGGCTAAAATAAGCCATGACTGGATGCGGTGACTGTGCGGAAGAAATTTCTTTGCCCATGTCTCTCTTCGGCAATAAAAAAAAATAATAATGTCATGTATGCACTGTATTTATATTTTGCAGAAAGAAATGCCAAAAAAATTATGAACTTATTAATTAACAAAAGAAATTAATAGATTATCAACTAAGTCTAGAATTACAAATGTAACTGGGTTATTTTTTCGGAGAACCAGTTGAATATAGACTAATGTTTTATGGCAGTATGGTGAGTTCTAGAGATTATGAATCAAACCAAATTGTATAAGTATTAAAAATTTGAAGTTCTGCAAATTAATTTAATAATTCATATTATTACCTAGCTAATATATCTACAAATCAAATTTTTACTTTAACATTTGTATGGAAAACATTTCAGAGCTATAGACATAGTGTTTTAATTTAAAAGACAATCTTGTTTTAAAAAATCTTAATTTTATTTTCATTATGATTTAAACGTTTCATTTAATATCGTCTTCTTTCTTTTTCTCGATCTTTTCTCACATCTTCTCTATAATCTCGATCATTACGATATTCCTTTTCTATTCTGTAATCACGTTCCACATCCCTATCATTGCGATAATTATGATCTTTACGATCTCGCTCTTTTTCGTATTTTCTTCTTTCTTTTTCCCGTTCTCGATCACGTTCTCTGACTTGACGATCCCGATTTTTTTCTCTTTCAAAAATTTTTTTCTTCTCGCTCTCTAGATCTTTCTTAGTCTCATCACGTTTTCTATCCTTTTCTATAGATCTTGACCTTGAACGTTCTTTCTTTTTATGTTTTGATTTCTTCAAGATTTCTTCTTTCTCTGCTTCATCTTCACTAGGAATTTCTTCATCTAAATCCTCATCCAAGGCTGAAACTTTGGGCTCTAATTCATTATTTTCTTCTAAAACTGATCTTTTTTGTATTCGAGGTAAAATGATGTCACAAACCCTATCGCTTCTTAAAAGTTCATCAATAAAATCGTCCATATACACTATTTCAAATTGTCCACTCCTATTTTGGCGACGCAATTTTCTGTTGTCATTATAAAGTGGCTCCAAGTATTTGTAACAATCCAAAGCAGTTCCCGTCAATCTTAAATAAAATGCACCTAAAGCACGAACATACTTGAATTCTTCGTTTTTTATAAATTCAACAACGATATCTTTTTCTGGCTGAATTTGTAACATTTTTAAAGTTAGACATAAAAATTGCGTTGGTTTGATATTTCCACCGTACACGCCACCAATAAATCGTAATTCCATTGCTTTATCAACCAACAATTCTGCAGTCAGAGCAAAACATTGTTCCTTCCAATATTTTGAATCATATATACGAGATCTAATGATTTTTTCAATCAAATATTGTGGATTAGTTCCGTGCACATTTTTCGCTTCTTTAACTGTTCTATTAGCCATATTAAATTAACCAAATACTAATTTAAATTTATCTTTTCCATAAAACTTGTATTTATCTATGAAAAAAATTCAATAAAATAATTTTGTAAACAAAATTAAATCAGAAAATTCGTACTTCAATAACTTTGAAATAAGTTTGACAGTAATTTTAGTGTTACCAACCATGTCAGCTTTACTAACTTTACACTGACTTTGGAAATAATCAACTACACGACAATTTTGAAACTATAAAATATTTTGATTAAAAAATAACCAAGTTATGTTTGGAATTTATGTCTTCACTTAATATATTGATTATCATACGGAAAAATTTTTCTAAGAAGGACTACATATCTATCCAATTTACTTTGGTTATCCATGTAAATTCACTCAAGCATAGATAGAGTGCCGGATAGAAACTTTTAGCTTAAAATTGTACGTACCACAAATTGGAAAATCAATATTAAAAGTTGCTAATACATGCAAATCTAGACCAAGGAAACCTTTTTAAAAAGCAATCCTGTGTGGTGAAAAGTTTCAAAACAAATAATAATTCAACAGCAAAGTAGTGGGATGATCATAGAATTTGCAATTTTTAAAACAGATTTATAATATTGGTTACAGTTGATTAAACATTTCTGGATAGCTTCAACATATTCTAGATAGTTTGATAGAACAAATATAAAAAAATTAAACTTAAAAATTTTGAATGAAGTAAATATAAAAGTAAAAAACAACAACACGACAACATTTTGTTGCACTCGCCAGCATACACAATTTTCTCCAAAACCCTTAAGTAATATGTATGTATGGATTTAGCATATAGTATTTTACTACTTGAGAATTTCTATTAAAAATCTTTCTTATATAACAACTCTTATAAATCTTACAGCATTCAATTAAAAACGTTGATATTTTGTCAACTTATAAATAAGAGTAATTATTTTATTTCTTTAAAACAAAATTTTTCTAGATATCTGTACATATGCAGCTAAGTACTCAAAATCATAAATATGCAAGTTTTCAACAGATTACCATATTATTTTATAAAATATTAGTCTCTTTTGCAAAACTTCTCAGATGTCATATAATGAAAGTGATTGAAAATGTATGTATGTATGTATATGGAGACTAACTCTCGTGATGAGGTACGTCTGAGTTACTGTTTTTTTTGTATTGAGTGTACATATGTATGTACATACATACTTGTAAATTTTGTTTAAAATTAGGTAGGTAGGTACTTAACTTGATTATTAACTTGAGTGAGAGCATTACCAGTTCGAATTTAAAAAAAAAATAATGAAACTAAGAAGTTTTGCAAGAAAATGAAAAGCTTCATGTATAAGTTGAATGTAGACTAACTTAATGGGCATGCGTATTTGTTTGAAATGGAATGTCGGCTTCTTATGAAAATGCAAAATTTTTACTACATTTACATTTTATAAAAAGAAATTCGTTCTGCCTACCTCTCACATATAATAGGTAGATAGGTAAGTATACCTACCTAAGCACATACTAAAATAACACAGAAATTTAAATTTATAGAGTGATTATACTAAAAATCAAAATAGAAAACTTAAGGAAAATGTACGTTGCGGTGCTAGCGATTTAAAATTTTAAAAATTTTGAGTGTCAGTATGTAAATAGATACACGTACATACCCATCCAAGTAAATATTTTTGAAATTTATTTGGACAATGTTCTTACTTCTTAGAACCAATAATATAATAAAAAATTTTAATAATATTAAAAATATATAAAAGTTTAGAAGCTAAATATAAAATACAGCTTCTAAATACTTTCACACATAAGTTTTTTTAACTAAAAACTGTTATTTATATTTCCATATTATCCATATATGTAAAATTAGCTTAATTTTCTTACCTGATTGGACTTAAAGTTTTTGACTAACTTTCCTATTAAAGGAGATTTTTGTGATGACATTTTATACATATAATTTATTTCAATTTTTATTTAAAAAATCGGTAAATTTAATACAAACTCAACAATTCCTAAGTAAAATTGGACAAAAAGCTTTATTTATTTTTATTTACTTAAATAATATTGAGGATAAGCGGAATGAATTATGGTATGACAGTAGACTTCAAAAAATATTATGACAATTCATTTCGAAACATTAGTTAAGTTGTGCTTGAGAGTTGAAACTTTGACAACTAAAATTCTTGACATTTCTTAACAAAAAATAACTTAAGATTTTCACATTTCACCAGACTAATATAAGTTAAGTTTAAACGAGATAGAAGCTAATAATACGAAATGGCAAAAAATAATGGGACTGTTTATTTAGGTTTTGAGGATGAAGAGATTACAGAAAAATATAAATCGCAATTGAATTATACTGTTAATAAAGTTGGTGGTGTACCGGTAAGTAAATTTTAAAGAGTTTTGCAGTGAAAAATCAATAATTCGTTACATCAATCAGGATTGGCCGACTTCAGATATTAAAGTTCCATATTGCCCAATATGCAACTGCAGTCGTCCACTTTTGGTACAAATATATGCGCCTCTCGAAAATTCTTCATTTCATCGAACTTTATATATTTTTGCTTGTCTCAACACACTTTGTTCGGTTAGTATAACCTTAAGGTTTTTTAATTAATTTTGAAACCGTATCACATTAAACTTAATTTGTAGTTTGCTTAACGTTTTGAAAATAAAAATCTTTAAATTATTTTTAGATAAAATCTCGAGGTTGGATATGTATTAGAACTCAAACTTTAGATAAGCAAGAGCTTGAGATAACAAATTTAGGTAAAAAATCTAACAAAACAAGTAGTCTTAATATAACTTGGTGTGATGGGGCGGATGATTGGGGTGATAATGTTTTAAACACATGTGAAAAAATGCAAGAGATCAAAGAAGATGGTGGAGAAGAAAATGGGAATATTATAAATAACAATATGACAGTTGATAATTCAAATAGAATTTCAGATGACGATGAGAGTACGGAAAATGAAATCCTTAACAGCATTAGTAATTTGAATGTGGATGATAAAAATGCTAATTGTGGTGCACAAGGAGGTGTTGGGAGTATTTATAACAACGAAATACCAACATATGCCGAAATTGAGGGCGAAGAATCAGAAATAGTTACAATTGAGAGTCCTGTTGTTCCTCAAAGAGATTTAATAGCACTGATGAAACAAACAACTGGTTTACCAGCCAAATTAAAAAATTTTACATTGAAAAGCTTTTTTATTTATGTTGAAGAAGAAAAATTAAATTTGTCTAACAATTATTTTGGGATTACTGATCATGTTCGAGAGCTGATACAGGATTACCAGTTAAAAGATGAAATAAGTTTTTCCGAAAGTCCAAGTTTTAATGTTAATGTCTGTGATAGTGCTAAAGATGCTTGTGCTTCGGGTGGCTTTGAAAACGAATCATATGAAAAAGCCATACCAGCTCATGGTGATATAATGTTTCATAATTTTATGTCCACAATCCAGGAAAACAGTGGACAAATAATAAGGTAAATTAAATTAAGTATATAAATGCATATATATATATATGTAAATATATACATATTTTCATTTATGTTTTTTTTAGATACACCCGTGATTCTTTGCCTTTGTTGATAGCTCCACTTACAGAAAATGTTCCTAAATGTCAATATTGTGGTGGTGAATGCATTTGCGAAATACAAATTTTGCCATCTTTAATACCTTTATTAAAATTTCAAAATAATGAACATACACCTATCGAATATGGAAACGTTCTAATTTTTACTTGTTTAAAAAGTTGCTGGGATACACCAGATAAAATGAGAATTGAAAATGTTATTGTTCAGCAAGAAGCTTAATGCTATGAAAAATTTTATCTGAAGAATTGAATTTCTTATCCAAATTATAATACTAAAATTTATAAAAATAATTTGCATGCTTCAACAGTTTTTATTCAACATGACTATTTCCAATTTTATTCGGTATTAAATCTGTTTCTTTGATTTCATATATATATTAAAAACCTATTAATGTAATCATTTCAAAACAAATACTTATTTATGTATAAAAATACTATAACATTATAGTATTATCATATTTTATTAATTTGTAATTGAAATGCTTTTAAAAACTTTATTTTTAGTTTTCCTATAGAACAAACTGGTATAAATTTCTGGTTTCCTTGCCAAATTTTTTAAGACTTTTCACTTTATATAAACATGTCTTTATATTTATTACATAATAGACTTGAATATTAACATAATTTGTTCATCTTTGCAGAAGATTTTGATGAGCAATATATTCAAACCAAAATCTAAAACATAATTTTTTTATACATGTTAAGTTTTTTGATAAAAAAATTTAATTCTTCACTTTCCACTTTATACTTCAGCACTTGATATTTATAATGAAAAATCAAATAAAACAGGCACAAAATATCCTATTTATAATAAATACATATCCAAAACAAACTTTTATTTAAAAAACAATATAAGGAATATTATTGTGTAAACAATTACAATGTTAATAAAATGACTAATTCGCTTTTAAAGTTGATAAAGCTAAAATATTGTTAGATTAAACAAAATAAAATTAAATACATAAAAATTTCTAATAACAACACGATTTGTAGTAATAGTAGTTTCCGAATTCAAATCCCTTTATTTATTCATAGAATTATTTGTAAACGTATACATATATCAATTACGTAATGTGATACTTATTGAGAAGAGCATATTAAAATGAAATACGAAAGTTGTGTTGTCCAAATTATTGGGTTAAAAATATAAAATAAAATTGGAATATTTGATGTCCTTTAAGCTCAGTACATTAAAATTCTTTAATAGTAATTTCAGAGTTTTTACTATGAACTGATTTTATTGATTATAATATAATAATTTTATTGTAATATAATGATTCCAGATATTATAATGTAAAATGATGTATATATGTCTATATATATACTATATATGTATGTATGCATATATACGAATAAAAGAAATAATAAAATATTGTTTTATTTATCTTAATTCCAAAATTTGCTTTTTTACTTTTTTAATAGGAACTCATTTTTTTCACTTTTCTATTTAGCACAAAATATAAAGCAATTCATTACAAATATTATTTAAGTATTGAAATATGGGGCTTTAACATTTTTATATGTTAAGATTTTCACTCACATTCTGTTAGTCGCATCATTTAACTTATTATTAAAAAATATGCAGATTTCCAGAATAGTTCAGAGTAATTTAGAAATTTTAAATTGTACGCCGAAAACGAAAATCCTTTTCAATAACAACCCATAACCTCAAATCAAGCGACTAACATAATATGTGTTTTTATTTTGTCTTCGGAATAGATTGTTAAAGACATTATTCACATTTGTTGAATTATTAGATTCATATTAATATAATAGAAATAAAATCCTTTTTCATAATTATTTATTAGTTTTTTAATAATTACTTACATTAAATAAATTTGTTAAGCCCAAATATTTCACTTTAAATTATATATGCATTTATAAACTTTATAAGCAATATTTTATTGTAATGGGATTTCAGCTTCTAAATGATAACTTTTTACCCTAGAAAACCATAAAGGTGGATACTTTGATGAAGTTACATCGAAATCTGTTGTAATTTCTCGTTTATTTTTAGTTTGTACAATTGAATAATTATTCCACTGAAGTTGACAAAAACGTCTTTTGGTTTTATTTATTATTTTAAATTCAATATAATATGAATAAGAGCCTTCTAAATCATTACAAAAATTTCCTCGACGTTTTGATATTATCGAAGGGTTTTGCTTAACATTTCTCTTCATCATAATAATTACAATGTCACCATGGAACCTATAATGTCCCCTTAATATTTCTGGTCTTAACTGATTTATATTTTTTAACTTTGAGACAGCTTGAGCTGGCTCTTCAGCAGTAGTCCACATTAAAACATTTCCGTCTGGTAAAAATCGAAAATATCGATAATACTCTATTAACTGAACTGGTCTGTAAAACTGATCCTGAAAGCTATTCTCCCCATAACGCAAATAAGTAGTTTTACTTATATAACATCCATGGAAATGTACTCGTTTTCTTTCGATATACATTTCTCGCCACGAACAGTAAGGACTGTTAGACAAAGAACCAGTATTTACACCCCAAACTCTGAAATAAAGTTAATTAAAATTATAGTTGTTAGGAGACATACACCATAATTTTACTTTAGACATATTAGTCTCCACATCTCATTGTCCCGAGCACATAAGTATAATCCTTTACAAACAGTAGCAACTTGTTCTAAAGACCTAATATCTAGTTGAGAAGATACAACCCAGCGTAGAATGTTATATATGATTTCCATAGGAAGATCATTTAAATGCTTTGTTGTTGCTATTACGCCCATATCAGCATTACTCCTTTTAATAAAATACTGATTTTTAATCAAATCATTTTGAAATCTCTTATATAAATCGACGTCGGTTAAATCCTCTTCTTTTGAAATATTATGATCTTTGTTATGGCTTTCAGTTTTATTGCTGGTGGATTCTATTTTAGGTTGATTTGTTTGTGCCTTTATTGTTGTTTCGTAGAATTTAAATTCAATTTTTGGATCGATTTGCACAGCTTTACGATAAAAAATCAAAGCGTCATAAACTTTTCCTCTCTTCTCCAAATCAACAGCTTGCGTGAAGAAATTAAGTGCCTTTGTTTCTTCAGTTGTAAACTGATTTGAATTCGGCACAAAACTCCTTTCAGGTGTTGTGTTTTCAGATGTTTTTTCTGTAACGCATTCACTCCTTGGTTGCGATGGTGTTTTCAACTCTTTTTGCCACTTTTCTCTGAATTCTTCCAAAGCATTTTGTAATTGATTTGGCATTGAATCCAATGGTGTAATAGAAGAAGATTCATCTTCTTCCTCTTCCGATTCCAGGGAACTTGTCAGCTAAAATCAAATTCATGATATCAGATATATTATTTAATTTTTTATTTATTTTTACCATAATTTAAAATTAAAAATTTACAAAAATGGTGAAGATAGTTCACGGTCAGAAAATCTTATTATTATTTTATATAATTTAACACTTTTTGTTTTCATATACAAGCGCAAATAGGCCATTCTAAAAATAGGAATCGCCAAAAAGTTATTTTAAAGTTCAAATTAGCAAGATGAACTTTTTGAAATATTGTTTTTTTTTCTTTGCAAATCAATGGAAAATTGGATGTTTTTACATCTAAAAGATTTCACGATATGTCAAATTATGAAGGTAGGTGTTTTATCTAATATTATTTACTGTATACACATATTAGTATACGCAATAAAATTCATTGAGCGAAAAAGGATTCTGCGTTTTAAAACCTTATTTATTTACAAAAACACAACGTGGCTCGCGATTCGCGAAATATGGTTTTATGAATTAGGAAAACTAATCCTTCTATTACTCGAACCACATGATTTTAAAAATCCAATAGGTTACCAAATAAAATTTAATGAACTACTAATTTACAAACGTCAGTGTCTAACTTTTTAAGAATTTAATTATGATGTGAAATTAAGACTATGTCAAAATAAAAATAAATAAAAATACTTCCGTTTCTATTCTTTAAATTATGGAACAAACAGAGATTTTCAAATTTGAAATTATTATGAATGCCAATACACTTTATACCATAATTATTTGTTAAAATTTTGTAATATTTTAAAAATTAAAAAAAAAAAATAATACGTCAATTGAAGGTATTTGAATTATTATTTCATAAATTTCCTTACTACATTACCTACTTAATTAAAAACGAATACAAGTTTAATGTGTAAACTTCTTCTGTAGATTAATCTGTCATTTTCATGTTTATAAACAGAAATGTGCAAAGCCGGAATTGTGGATGTTTTTGTTCTCATGCTTGACATTATTCATTGTATTTGTGTCAGCCGTAGTTTCATGACATTTTCATTTGATTGTAAAGGTGGGTCATGGATTTCAATAATTGATTATAAATGTTTTTTTTTTATAAACACAAGATATACGTATCAAAAATCGTGTACAATATTGTATACCAATCTTTCATATATGTACTTCAATGTATTTACTATGGAAATTGTACAAACCTCTTTCTTACAGATTACAGTTTAAAGATTTATAGATTTTACAGATGACTTCAAGCGGAATTCGAGCTTATATAAACATCGCTCTCATAGAATTATTAGATTGAATTGAAAATCGACTGCATAAACGCGGATTGAAAGATTAAAAATTACAAATTAATATATAATGTGGGCCTGGTAATGTCAAACTCAAGTTGATTTCGAGTAATATTATTTCAAACTGTAAAGTATATACGCAGATTAAAATTTCAAGTCAACGACTTAATCCTGATGGATTAAAATAAGATGACGGACGGATAATTCCTGATATAAACGAAATAATATTAACATATAAAATTCTTTAATGTCATGTTTGAATTAGCTAAAGAAAAAATGATACGCATTCGTTTCGGGCCATGCTGCATGTAAATATATTTGCGTATAGTGTACGTAAATGGTACACATTTATTTAGATGCAATCTCAGACATTGGACAAACAAAATATTTGAAATTTAGGTGCGTGTATGCATATAGATCTTTTGAAATTAACCAAAGATTATTCGATAGTATTTATTCTTAAATCGATTCGCTCTTTTGTATTGTCTTGATAGTTCGATCTCTACTATATTGACAATTATTTTAGTTTACATTTGCATATTGCACACATATATTATATTTAACAACAATTAATATGAATTAAAATATATGTATACTACGATTGTGCACCAGTAAACAAAATATTTATTTCGTTCGTATTTTAATCTAAAATTTTATTTAAAACTTTCTGCAAAAATTAAATTATTAAAGATGTCGGAAAAACAAGATAAAAGGGAATTATTTGCTTTATTAAAGTTAATGCGAAAGTATAACTTGAAGCAAACTGAGGACCTTTTAAAGCAAGAAGCGAATTTGACAGAGGATCTCGATGAAGAATTGCTAGCTAAAACACCTCCACCACTGCCTGATGAAGAAAACCCTGATATGCTCTTCGGAATCTACGAAGACCTGTGCAATTTTATCGAAGAGGTAGTTAGATTTTCTTATAAAAAGTTTGAAAATAAAATGAAAAACATGTTTTTGCTAGTCTTTGGATATATATAAACACGAATTATCAATGGTCTTATATCCGCTATTAGTTCACATATTTATTAAATTAATGGATTGTGGATGTGAGGAGAAAGCGCACAAGCTGATAGAAGAATTCGGACCCCAACAGTTGTATTATTATCAAAACGATATTAAAGTTTTATCAGAAATACGAAAGGTTTCTCAAATGGAAACTTGCGATTTAATTACTGCTTTAAAGAACGAAAAATTTACAATTCGTATTTCGCGGGACTCTTTGTCTTTATTTAAACGTCATACACAAGATAAGAGATTCGATTTAGTTAATCAGATAGTATCCAAATATTTTCATTTTGACTTATACGAAGGTGCTGCAAGAAATAAAGAGCAATGTGAAGCAACTGCTGGTGCCATAACTGGCGAAGCTAAAAGAACGGACAACAAAATTAGAGTTTATTATGGGTTGCTAAAAGATATAGATTTTCAAAGCTTAAATACGCCACCTGACGAAGAGGAGGAAGTTGATGGAGATGGAATTGATAGACCAAAAAAAAAGAAACCTAAGAAAGATCCATTATTTTCGAAAAAGTCAAAATTGGATCCAAATGCTCCCCCTTACGACAGAATTCCTCTGCCAGAACTTAAGGATGCTGACAAAATGGAAAAAATGAAAGCAATGCGAGAGGCTTTAAAACGTGTTCCCTTAGGGAAAAACAGGTACTGTGTGAATTAAGAGATTCCATATTTTTTGCAATCTTTTATATATTGCAGTTTACCGTCCTGTTGTTTTTACACCGTGCTAAATGGAAGTGGAACTGTAACCTGTGCAGAGATATCAGATGATTCAACAATGCTTGCGCTAGGATTTTCTGATTCTAACATTAAAATTTTTTCACTAACACCTTCTAAACTTAGAGAAATAAAATCGGCTGATCAATTAAAAGATATTGATCGAGACGCTGATGATGTTTTAGTGAGAATGATGGATGATCGTACCGCCGAAAGTGCAAGAAATTTATACGGTCATTGTGGACCTGTATATCGCTGTGCCTTTTCGCCGGAGAAAGTTTTACTGTTATCTTGTTCAGAAGATTCGACTTTAAGACTTTGGTGTATGCATACATGGACATGTATTGTAGTATATAAGGGACACTTACATCCAATTTGGGATGTACGGTTTGCTCCACATGGTCATTATTTTGCTTCTTGTTCAATGGATAAAACAGCGCGATTATGGAGCACAGATTCACATCAACCTTTAAGAATATTCACCGGACATCTTTCAGATGTTGATTGCGTTCAATTTCATCCAAATTCTAACTATATTGCTACTGGTTCAAGCGATAGAACTGTACGTTTATGGGACTGCTTATCAGGACAGTCAGTTCGTCTAATGACAGGACATAAGTCTACAATATGCTGTTTGTCTTTTTCAAAATGTGGAAGATACTTGGCATCAGGATCATCTGATAATCGAGTGTTAATTTGGGATTTATCACATGGACAGTTAGTGGCCCAATGCAAGCATACTGCGGCTTTACATACAATTACCTTTAGCAGAGATGGCACTTTATTAGCATCTGGTGGCCTAGATTGTGTGTTGGCGTTGTGGGACTTTTTGAAATTGATTGAAGACTATTCTATAAGCAGTAACCAATCATCTCACAACCCTGAAGTTTTAGAAGGTGAATCTTATTTATTACGCTCTTTCAGTACAAAATCATCTCCATTTCTGAATTTACATTTTACTAGAAGAAATCTTCTCTTAGCTGTAGGATTTTACAAATCCTAACTTAAATTTCAAACATCTTAAAAAAGTAAAATTTGAATTTTGTGGAATAAAATTAAATGGTAGTTTTATTAAAGTTTTATAAAAACTCTTGTTTTTATTTTAGTTCTTGTTTACTTAGATACATACATACATACTTATTAAATTATTGAAATAAAAAAATAAATTTAGGTAAAATTTAAAAATTTTAAAAAACATTTTTTACACGATTTACGAATATTTTGTCAATATGACTCGAAATTTGCTAAATTTGTCTACATTTTTTTAAATTTAGTTATGTAAAATAATTTTTCTGAATTAAAAAATTATTCTAATTTCCATATATTAAATTTTTTATTGTCTTTAAACCCCTTTATTACCTGGTTGATTTCATACCATTTAAAATCCAAGGAACAATATTTTTCAACAATCTTTTTTTCTGAGTCAACTTCATTAATTTCTTCAAAAACTTTTAACTTCCGGCAGCAGGCAAAATTATTAAAGTGTTCACTCTCGGGTTTAATGTTCAAAATAATTTGTTTGCACGACTGCGTAAACTCGCAAAAGTCTTTCATGTCCAGGTACTCATTTATTGATCCATTAGGAGACTCAACTTCAAAATCCATATATACATTAGTTGGTCTTAGAGGGTTCACAAAAGTTTCTCCTAATTTTTCCGATAACAATATTGATCTACAATGAAAAATATTGGCATGTATATTCCCAGTGATTGTATGTTGAATATAGATTAAGTAAATATAATTATTATACATCCAACCTTAAAAGCTTCCTTGTAACAAATTCCATTACATGTGCATGAGTTTCATCATAATGATCATAAAAAACCGTTGGAATATTGATAGTATAAACTTCTTTCGGCGTAAAAGCAGTTGGACCGAGCAATATTCTCACTGATTTAATGATTTTGTTACTGTGAAATGTTTGTTTAATTATCTGAAATGATAACGCAGATAAATGTATGACATCAATATTTTCTTGAAAACTAATTTTACTTACATTAAAATACTCTTCTATTCCATGAAATGTTTTTAAAATATTTAGGCGGTATCTGTGGAATTCGAAATTTTCTATTTCAATTAATTCCTCGGATAAGTAACTTTCTTGATTACCCCATCTCGAAATAAAAAGTTTTAAGGTCGTATACACCAACGGAATTTGATTTCTTTGAAATAGCAACAGCTTTAAAATTTGAATAACCAGCTAAAACAAAATTTACATGCATATTTAATTATAATTTTCTTTATTCAAACCGCTTTTAAACCTGTGCAATTGTGCTGGAAGTTAACATAGTTTCCTTTGGAACATTTAGATCAAGTTCGGTTTTATGTCCTTTTGAAGTCATTTTCTTATTTTCTTTCCTTATAAAAGCAAGAAATACTAATATATTGTTTTTTTCTGAATCCGTTCTTCAAAAATTTAAAAAAAAAACATCCAAAACGTTCTTAATCTTGGTATCAATTTTAAATAATGACAAGTCGCATTTGATACATTTTTCATGATCTTCTTCGTTTACACGTAGACTCTTGCCCTTGTGTCAGAGGTTGAAATATGTTTTATTTCCAGAGTTGACAAACTAACTTTGTGGTTTTTAGCTAACAGAAATAAAACGTATGTCAATTATTGGAGCAAAAAGCGTCTTATAAATACATAGTTAAGCTACTTATGTCAAATATTTCTGAAATATGTAAGAAAGACCCTAGAAAAACTTTTGCTTAACATTTATGTAGCTATTTCAAATATTGTTTGATGGAAAAATAGAATAACGCCATTCAATGCAAGATGGAAATTCCAATATTCTAAAAATGTTGCAAATCTGTCAATTTAAATTAAAATGAAAATAAAAAAAGCTCTCTTACCCAGCATTTACACGTACAAGTTACTTGCAAGAAAGTTGCAATACATACAAAAATTTTACTAACACATTGAAATATTTCTACTTGCTTGTTTACTTGCAGTTCAACTTGCAAGAAAATTTTGCTGCCAGTAATTTGACATATTGAGAAATTCACAAAAAAAAATTTGTTGTTTTGATTTTTTTTTTTTTTTAATTTAAAATTTTTGAATTTTGTTTTGAAAAAATTAAACTTAGCAAACTTATGGTTTCTAAAATTTATAAACAATTATATATATTGCTAGTTGTTTTCTTCTCAAAGACATTTTCAAAAATTAACTTGCTAAACGCCTACGTCATAATAGCAAGTAATTTGACATTTCGAAAAACTAATTGACAATTAATATTATACAAACTTGCATGCAAGTAACTTGTATGTGTAAATGCTGGGTTAGGTGCCTGTTACACATCAGATTAAATCTACGATTAAATCTAAATCTGATGAAAATCTGATGTGTAATCGAAATCTGACATCAGATAAAATCTGATGAAAAAAATAGAAAACTATCCGATTATCATCAGATTATTTTGACAGCATTTGAAAAAAAAATGGCGTAATCTAAATTTTTTAAAAATTTTTACTGTGATCAGCTGATTTAATTTTTTGAATTTTTGAATTATTGACGTTTGAATGTTTTTTTAACTTTTGAATACAGGTTGCTATGAAGTTTTTGGTATATGTAGTTATAAAAAAAGAAGGTTTTTGTTTTTTAATTAAATTGTGTGTTTGAATTCTTGAAGTAAAAAGCCCGTTTATCTCGAAAGAAGGAATTTATGAAGTTAGAATATGAGCACCATGAATAAGAAACTAGCTGGTGAAAATTTAATTGAATTTATCAATTTTTACAGAGAGCAGGAATGCTTATGGAATATATATTCAAAGAATTACAAAAACATATTTTTAAAAAATAAAGCATATAATTTAATGGCAAAAAAATTTAAAATTGGTCCTCAAGAAGTTAAAACAAAAATAAATAATCTGCGGTCAAACTTCAATAGGGAGTTCAAAAAGGTATATTATAATTTTATGTGCTTTTTTGTCCACGCTTTTGTGTACACGTTATTTGGTTTTAGTGTGAAGATTCTAAAAGAAGTGGAGCTGGCGTAGAAGACATTTATGTTCCACAGATTTATTGGTATGATGAAATGCTTTTCTTAAAAGATTGCATAACGCCAAGAGCTAGTGTATCAAATGTAAGTCTTCCTTTTTTCAAATGATTTTTTATTGCTAGTTTAAACATTACAAACACTCATGATTCTCTGATAGAATTTATAATATGTATTGTTAACCGTGCCTGTACATGTGTATATCTATACAATTCTAAAGACAACTTACATAAAAAAACAAAATTAAAACATTTAGTTTTTTATTACAAAATTTTAAATAAATTTTAAATAAATTTTAAATTTTTAGTTTTAATTTCCAACTCTAAATTCAAGACAATATGTGCCATTGAAAGTCAACAGCTCCTTCATTCATGAAGTAATCTGCAAATTCACTTTTAATTTCACTTGCTTCCTGTGAGCTACGGTTGCTTCCTTGTAGAGAAATATTGCTTAATGAGTTGTTTTCATTACAAGAATTTATGGCTCCAATAGGCGAATCGTGGGAATTCAAAAAATTGTGTAAAACACAAGTAGCCAATACAATGTTTTCAATATTTTCTAATTTTAAGTCGATCGGTTGATTGAAAATTTTAAATCTTGAAACTAAACGTAAAAATGTACGCTCCACCACATTTCTGCAGTGTGAAAGGCGAAAATTGAAAATTTTTTCTTTAGAAGTAGTTTTTGCTTTAGGAAAACTTCTTAAAACATGTCTGGACAAAGCGAATGCATCATCACCTATAATCACATGTGGTATAGGTTTAACTCTCCCTGGCAGAGGCTTTTCTTTGGGTAAGTTTAAAGTTTTGTCATGCAATGCTCTGAACAATGATGAGTTCTTTAAAATACCTCCATCAGATATTCTACCATTGCATCCCACATCGACATATAAAAAATTTCCTTTTGCATCTACCATTGCTAAAAGTACAATGCTGAATCGACCCTTGTAGTTGAAAAAGTATGATCCAGAATTGGGAGGGTTTTGAATATAAATGTGCTTTCCATCTATTGCCCCTATAGTGTTTGGAAAATGTAATAATTGCAAAAACTCTTCTTCAATTTTTTGCCAAGCATCTTGAGTATCAGGCATCTAAAAAAAACTTATTAAATAAATGAATAGTAACATAGAAAAAATTTATATTTCAGATTGAATTGGATTTTTCCGATAACGATTCAGTTACATGTTCTCCAGCAACAACGCACGAAAACGAACCGCCACGACCTTCAATAAGCAGGGAAAGAAAGCACCAGTATGAGCCGAAAAACACTCGCTTGGATGATGCTTTAAAAAATTTAAAAGAAATTTGTGAAAAGTCAGTAGACGAAATTGACGAATTTTGCAAAAATTTAGCGGCCCAATTAAAAACATTGCCCAAGATAGATGTTTATGAGTTAATGGCAATGTTTCAAAATGAATTGTCACAGAGAAAAATCGAAAAAGAAAGAGGAAAACAAGATATAATAAATCTGGCATTCAGTGAAGCTATAATGTAACTACATACATATTAAAAATATCAATGTTATTAAGACTGAGAACGAAAGTTTATGTTTTAGTTTTAAGACTTACATACACATGTATGTAAAGTGTAATGGAGTTTTTATTTTCAATATTTTTTGTTATGTTAATTATGATGTTACATGTTTTACGTTTTATTTTAGTCAGTTATGAATTAAATTAGTTTTGAGAAAAATATATTGTTTCAGTAATTTTTACACTTACTTTTAAATATTTATTTTTTAGCTGTTCGTAAATAACTTTTATAACTTCAGGAACAAAAAGTGATATTGTAGATCTCGAAACTCTACTTAAATATTCCATAGAAACATAAGACTCTCCACTTGAAATAAAACGTAATGTTATTGCAAGTTTTACTTTTGTTGAGATGGATTCTCTCATATGGGTATTTTTTTTTTGATTTTGCTTTCAATCTAAAAAAGAAAATACATGGAACTTTGGTTTTTTTTTCACAAAATGTCACGTAGCTTACACTATGATGCAACCGTTCAAATGCATCCCACGATATTCTAGTAAAATTTTTAAAACTTCCGTCATTATTCAGTAATAAATCTGCGATAAGTTTTGATTCTACGTCATGAAACAATCGTTTGCTCAAAGAAGTTTTGACCCATATTTTTCTTTTCCTACTTCTATTTTGATTAATATTCTCGTCTTCCTCTATAAGGCATGCTAGGACTCCCGCTGCAGCTATCAAAACTTTGTTGTTGCTCATCACTATTAAACTTTGTAAGTACATAAAATAATATTAATTTATTATTCCTATGCAACTACACATTCAATTTTTTAAAAATTATATTGCTTTGAATAATATAATATAGTCACGAATGTTATTTGTTAAGTAAACACACAAATATTAAAAACGTTTGCTGTCAAATGGTTGACATAAAGGTTTAAAAATAATCTGATGTGTAAATACTCATCAGATTTTATCGTAGATTAAATCGTAGATTTAGTCTGATGTGTAACTGGCACCTTAGACAATCTTTATTTTATTTTGTTTAAACTCGCAGTTAAAATTTACATAAATTTTTACTAAATGCTGCATACTTCCATAATTTTTAAAGGTTTGTGGAAAACGCAAAGTTATCAATGGAATCATAAACCAAAGTTATTTCATTCAGTCTGTCATTTAATTTTGTTCTAAGATAATTTGAAAACCCAATTGTTGTTTTGTTAATTCTTTAGAAAATTTATATTTTCAATAAATAAATGTAATTCTAAGCCAATTCTGAGACTATAATTCCTACGCTTGCTTTGCTTGCCTTAAGTATTTGGTCTGTTGACGTAAGCAACTAACTAATATATTTCAATTATCAAGATTTTAGGAAAAACTGAATGAAGTGAAGTAGTTAATTACATATTTGGTCTTTGAAATGTAGATTCATAAAATTTTGGCAGTATAAAATTTGAAAAGATATAATACTCATAATATATAAACAAAACGATAGAGGGTTTTAAAAACTCAATAATAGAAAACGTGCGACGCTATTTTAAATACGATGGAAACATTAGTCAGAGCTTACATATTAATCAAAGATCGACAATCATGATTAAGATTAATGAAGATTGACCATGTAAACATCATTCATTAATTATTTCATCAAATTTTTAATTGACGATACAATAGAAATTGGTTTTACTTCTTGTAGCTTAAATTTGATACATATTATAGTTTTACGCATTTCCCTCCTGTAATCCTGTTTAATAACCCATAATTTGATAGTTCAACAATATTTTTGTTTTTGTTTTGATAGTTTTGAAACTTGAATTGGCGGTAAATTTAGAATTTGGAATTTTTATTATTAACTTAATTGAATTCACTAAAAAATAGAAATAGAACTTTGGAAAAATTATAAACAAAATGTATAAAAATAAACGATCGAAAAAAACTTTAAATGCCATTGCTTTTCCAAACAAACGTACTAGAAATGAAAAAAATTTAAAACCAATTAAAGAGAATGAGATTCTTAACAATTCGCAAAAAGAAAATGCTTCCCAAATTTCATCTACACAGCAATCAAATGAACCACCAGCTAAGAACTCTGTAGGTTTATTTGTTTTCAATCAGCGCTCAATAATGAACGCTAAAGTTCACATATTACAAAATATTACTTTAAAATAATTATTGCAAGTTACTGTTTTCGTTACACGGTAAGGTACTATTCTTAGAACGTAGGCAATTTAGTACAATGTTAGGTAAAATCTTGCAATAATTATTTATTGATTGATGTGCATATGTACATAATATATACATAATATATAAATAAATATATAACTTGAATTACCTAATTGATTTAATTAAATAGTTACCTTTATATGTAATAATCTGCTTATAGCGCATTGAAATTAGTAACCAAATTGAAATTCATCGTTATTCTAACGACATACCACATATCAATAAACAAGGTGATGAAGATGTTGATTTATTGGGAAGTCAAGAATCAGTTCCAGCAAGTCAACCCCCAACACAGAGACGTTACTTATCACAACGAGGATTTAGTATGACTTTAAACAGAACTCAATCTAAATCTTCAAGGGCCCCAGACTCATATTTCGAAATGGTTTTAATCAAAACAGGCGTAGAAATAGAAAATTCAGAAAACTTTATCTTAAGTAAATATTTTTTGATAATATGAAGATATTAATTTATTTTATTTAAAATTTGCAAATTAATTTAGCATGTGATCCTTTATCATACGTCAATAATTTGGCTTCTTTGTTAAAGAAACATCACGAATTTCCAGATAATATACAAACGTTCTTAGATGGATACAAAGAATATTTAAATAATCAATTTCGGCAATTGAAACTATTAACGGGTTGTGTTATAAATATATCTTCTATGGGAACAGAGTATCAATCACAAGATAGTATGACAATGAATTTCATGATGATAGACTTTTTGCAAGAAGGTATCATAGATATATTATTTCAGAAAATAGAAAAATGCGCGAGTGAAAAGTAATATTAAATATAAAATTAAATTAAAAGTTTATCAATGAAACTGTTTTTTTTTAGTCAAAATTTTTCACCTGATGTTCCTGTATTACCCTTACTTTTGTCACAACTGAAGTTTGTAACAACAGTTTGTAGTGATAAACTTTATGACCGAATTATAAAAATTTATGAGAAAGCCACCGCGCAGAGTCGACGAGAAATAATATCAAGTGCGGAATATATTTTGGATGCGTCCAAACATGATGAATTTGTCCAATATTTAATGTAGATTTTCCCATTCCTTTTTCATACATACGTATATATACTTACATACATATATTTTATTTTTACAAAATTTAGTGATAATACAAACTCACTTGAGGACCTGCTTTCTACGGAAAATGTTAAAGCATTTGCAAATTTATACTTAACATCAACTATACAGAAAAATATTCGGAAAAAAATTATTCTTTACGTGAAAAATGGTTGCAATATTTCAGTATGTTTTTTTTTCTTTTGAAAAATATTTGAAAACTTTAATAATAAATATTTAAAAAGTAAAGGAATCATGGTTGAATAATAAATATATAATTAGATCTTTCTTTTTTAGAGACTAGCTGTATTTATGAAATTTTTATTGAAGTTTTTGCAAGATGATGAAGAAAATTTATCTGAGGTAAGAAAGTTTCAAGACTGTATTTTTCTTTATATTTATTTTTTTCTCTTAGCTGGTTTCCGATATTCGAACCGCATTAGATTGGCATGAGTCGAATATTAATGAATTCGAAATATTAAAGTATCAATCAGAAATATTCACTTATATAAAGCAAGGATTAATTCGTTCAAAAAAATTATGCGACATATGGCAGAAATCCATTCAAAATTTAAATGAAGAATCAACGAAGTAATTGCTAATTTATTCTTTTTTTTTTTATTTAATTTTAAATCTGTGTTTATTAAAATGGATACGTTTTAGGCCGGTCGACATTATAATCTTTTTAATGTTAATGTCTATACGGGATGAAAAGGGATTTTACATTGAAAATTTGGTAATTTTGTTTCTGAAAAGCATTTGCTAACTTTGTTATACAACGTACATTTGTAAGTTTTTACGCACACATGTTTTTCAATAGATTCGAAGGCAAGTTAAATTGGAGCATATAAAATTAAATGTCGTGTCTGAAACGAAAAGGTATTTTTCACCTATGCTAGATACTTATGGAGATGTATTCCTTCAGGTTCTATATAACTTTGTCAAAGAAAAAACTCATATCGTCAGCGAATTTGCTAAAAATTGTTTTTGGTAATTTTTTTTTTAATATTTTTGGTTGTTATTTTGTGTTTTTCACAATTATACCGTCAAATTTCAGTATTATTTTTAGCGTTAACGAAAACTATCAAAAGAAAATATTGAATAAACTTGTAGACTTAGCATGTAATAAATATTCCAAAAATATAACAACTACAGCTTTGGATGTTTTATATATTTTAAATGAGAGATTTAATAAAGAAGTGCAAAATTTCGGTTCTCTTTTAATGGTAATCTAATTCTATAAATAACCTGAATATTGTATCAAATTTTTGTTTTAGCCCATGTTAGATCAAATTAATGAAATACCTTTAAAACAAATAAGAAAAGTAATGCAACTTATGTGCTCTATAGCATATCCCTTGCCTCCTTTAACAGGAAGTCCACATTTGCAAGAGCATATTGAAATGATGATTAAAAAGCAAATTTGCAGCCGTAACGTGATGTAAGTTTGTAACATATTTTATTTTTGTACATGATAATAGTATTTTTATACAGTGTATAAATTTTCTTTCTTTTAATTATGTTGTCAGAGTACAGAAAAAAGGGATAATTGGCATAGTTCAATTAATAAATTTTATTGTAAGAACGGAACTTTCTGATGATTCAAATATTTACGACATAAATGAATCTTATCAAACGGCTAATGATTTACCGGAGGGCAGAGGTAAACAAGCTGCAAGTTTTGTTTGTAAGAATTGTCAAATCAGTTAAATAATTAGCACTATATTGAAATTATGATTTTTAGTAAGAGTTTTTAGCGCGACGAATTATTGCACAAATTCTTTAGGATTGTTTTATGAAGAACTAGCGATTGCGCTGTCAACAAAAAATTTGGAAAACAATAAAGCTAAAATTGAAAGACATTTTTTGGTATGGCTTTGTGATCTTGTAACCTATTACTTACAAGAGAATTTCATTGAAGAAATAGATAAGGAAATGGAATATCAAAAGGATTGGTAAAGCATTTTATATTAATTAATGAAATTGTAGGAACAATTAGTTTTATTACATAATTGAATATTCAAATTTTGTTTTAAGTGAACTAGAAACTAGCGTTCAAAGATGTCAAAATTTTGCTGAAGATCTTGTAACAGAAACAGATGCTCTAAATTTGGCAATTAATATAGCCCGACCGGTTTTTGTGCCTAGCATCGAGTAAGTAATTATTATCACATTAGAGAATATTTAAAAAATTAAATTTTGTGACTATTCTAGAGCTCATTCTTCGATACTTATTCTTCCACCTCTTTTCAATTTAATAGCTGTGGTACAGAAAATTAAATTTTCCGAATCATTAGAAGCAATCAATGCAGTTTTAGGATGCGGAATAATTTTACCAAAAATCTTTCAAGATGAACCGAATTTTCAATTTTGGCATAGATACAAAGAAGAAACCGTAATAAAGGTTATTGATATGCACTTTCATACAGTTAATTGGTATAGAGTTATAGTAAGTTCATTTATTTCACAAGATAGTGAGCTATTGAGGAAAAAGGTTATACTGTTAAATTTGTTAAATTATTCAAACTAACTTATTTGAAAAATTACTTTAGATCCTTTTTCGCTTAAAGGAACTGATTGAATTTGAAGAACTAACAAGAAAGTGTTTAACTCAAACTTCACCTAACTATTTTCCGCCCTTATCTTTATTTAACAACTTCGAAGAGCCAAAACCTTCCAAAGCAACAAGAGGTTTGTTTAAAAAACTTCAATAAATTTTCTAGTATCATAAATCTGTCATTAAAAGTAGTTCTGTTTTAGTTAATAAAAGTATTTTTTTACAAATTGTATTGAAAAAAAAAGACATTTACAACTAGTAATATTTTAGGAAAAAAAACCGAGAAGAAAAATGTGAAATCTACTTCTAGTAATAAAGGCCTAGGCAAAAGGAAAGTGGTTCAAACTGAAACTGAAGTCACAGAAAATGAAGGTATGTCGATGATAGCTGCAACTCACTCTCAAGATATGACTATAAATCGAGCAACTAAACTTGGCAACAAAAATGTAGTTAAATTATCTCAATTCGAATTTAGCTATGGTCCTAAAGAAATTTTTCGGTACACTAAAATATTATTGTTTTATATTTATATGCTGTTTAAAGAAATCATTTCTCCTAAAGGCAATTAGATAACGACATCATACTGATTTTAAGAGAAGATTTTGATTTAACATACCCACTAGAAGAAAGTAAAATTGGGTTTTGTTTGGGATTAAAAGAGTTAAAATACATAATGCAAGATCTGGTTTCAAAAATTGAGAGTATTCCTGGAATAAAAAAATTGGGAAATGATGTTATTGTTCAAAATATGTGTCACATCAAATGTTTTATGGAAAAATCAGAAATTTACTTATCTCATATATATAAAAATTTGGAAACTATGAAAAAATTTTTGTTTGAATTGCTAATTAAAGTTAATGGAAGCTTGGGAAACTCAGCATTATTTACGGATCAAGTTAATTATATTAAAATTTGTTTTAGCCTATGTGTCAGATTTATTGCAAGTTATTTTTCATTTTCTGGATTTGATGATTTAGCGTACGCTGAAAATTTAAAACGAGCACTTCAATCAATATCTAATAAAAAATCAAACAATATAAATGAATTAGTTTCTAACGTAATTGAACAATTAATGACACTAGAGCCGGCAGTAGTGGAGATAAAAGCAGCTTTTTATTTATATCATGCTATTAATACAATACAACGTTTTTCTTCTAAAACAAACTTTGAAAAGAAAATTCGAATAATGTGTAAAGTTTTCTTATGTCGAAGATGGTATAATTTGGAAGGTAACATGGAAAAAGGAGCTTTTTCTAATATACTCTTAGATGAAATAATAAAAGGTTTCGTTAAAAACTCTAGTAGCAAAAGACTCAAAGAAATCTTAGTTGTTATTTTAACAGACAGTAAAGGTCTAAAAGGAAAAGATGACATAATAAAAAGTTTCCCAAATATTCATAAGGGAAATTTTCCGATGTTGTTTAGAAGATTATGTGAAAGTTTGATTGAATCTACTAATACTTCGATTAGCAGGAATCACTCAGAAATGGAATCGCTAAAGACATGGGAGGATCTTTGCAACAATTTAAACATATTGTTAGATATTATTCAAAGTACAGATATTCCAAGAAATTACTCTTTATACATAAAGGTAATTTATTATACAAATAACAAAATTTATTTATTATTTACGTTAATTTTTTTAAATTTTATAAAACCCAGTATCGTAAATTTGGAATTTTTTAAAGTATTACAAAAATAAAAAAAATCTTTGAAAATTCTAAGTGAAAATTAAAGTATAAGTGTTATAGCTATATATGTATATAACTTTTATTTTTTTTCAGTATTCTCATTCATTTATAAAGGTATTTCTCGATAGTGGTTTACCGTCATTTGAAAAGTCTCTTAGGAAGAATCCAGAGAGGTTCAATACGCTCCTAAAAAATCTTCAATACAATACAAGATTTTTACATAATTTATGTTGTCATTCAAAAGTGAGTAATTTTTTTTTAAATTTTTCGAATAGATCTCTGATGTTAAGAGCTATTTACAGTTTCAAAACTAATTTCATTTAACATGAGAACTATGAATTTTTTATGTTAACTTTTAGGCCATTAAAAACAATGCTATAGTTGCCCAAATACCATTTGTTCGAGAAACTGTGGAAAAGTTATTATATAAAGTACAAGCTACTTTAGCTGCAAATAAATGTGTTTCAGCCTTTTGGATGGGTCCTTTAAAAAACAAAGATATTCAGGGTGAAGAGATCAGTTTATCACAGGTAATGTATAAAAAACGTTCAATTATTAATGAAATTGAAAAACTTTTTTAATTTTTAGCCGTCTGCAATTGATATAATAAATAAAAAAAGTAAAAATAATGAAGAATGCAATGATGATAGTAGTGCTGATGATACCATAATGGATGATGATGCAGGTAGTGTTGCTAAAAAAACAAACAAAAATCAGTCTTTAAGTGATTGTTTTTGAATTAAGTGATATATTTTATAAAACAATGTTCAATGTATATATGTACGTGAATGGATATATTTATATATGTGTACATAATATATACATATAAATATAGGTAGATTTAGATTTTTTGTATACTTTTGTCCAAATAAATTATATTATTTCTTTTAATATAATATGTATGTAAATCGGTTATTATCACCTTGAACACATTTGTATGTTTGCTTTGGAGGTATCTGTATTTGTTTCAGATTTACGTTTTGGCTGGAATTTGAATTCAATTAATTACGTTTTGTAATTGTAAATGTTAATGTTTACATGCTAGTTGGCTGCACCAGTGGCATAACTCAGAAATTACATATTAAACATCAATATTATATTAAAAAATATAATATTGTAAGGAAAATATGTTAACTCAAAAAATTAGTGTTTTTAAATGAGCAAATTTTAAATTATGTCCTTGTTTCGAAAAACTTGCTGAAGTACTGAATTAAAAAATTCAGTACTATGTTTAAATGAACTTATTTATTATTTAAGAGTTTTAGTTTATTATTTACGGTTTTAATTAATCATTTAAAAGTTAAACTGAATTAAAGCTGGTTTTATGTATTTTTTTTTAAATTTTAATGTTTGAATGATTTATAAATCCTGTTTTAAAATTTTAGGAAGCAGTTTAATGGAAGAGTAGAAAAGAATAAAACAGTAGCTTTTCTGCTTCATGAATTTTTTTAAAAACTTATCTGAAACATTGAATACTTCCAGTTTTTTTTTTTTTGAAAATTTAAATTAAAAGCTTTTTTATGTTGGATGTTTGAATTTTTTTTTATTTAGAAAAATAACATTTTTTTTTTTTATTTAAATATGTATTGCGAAAAATTCAATTGAATAATTTTTATTTAATTACTTAATCTTTAATTGGAATTGATTTTGAATAGAGTGTGTTCAACAAGATATTTAAAATTAGATATAGAAATTTTTATAATTTCTTTCATTTTCACATTCATAACCATTCTTCTTTTCATTATTATAGAACGCTTAAAGAACTATACCATTGCTTAAGAGTAAACACAAAATTTTTGCTAATTTCCCATTTCAAACCTTTAGCGTTAAATCATAAATATTTTAAAATGACTGGTCTATCGTCTTACAAAAATCGTTTATCAAACTTTCATTATTTTACTTTTTCAAAAAGAATGTGAAATTTACATTAAGCACTACCTTGATTTTTCCAAATATAATTATAAAAGTTTTAACAATATATTTCTTATATAGTATGTACATAATACACTAAAATTTGCTTCGTCGAATGCGCATTTTTCACTTTTAAAATTATATTGTAAAAGTGTACTTATTGACAAATGGATTTATTATTAAAGTAACGATTAAATTTCTTTTTGATAAATTTTTAAATTGCGTTCTATAATAAGATATTTATTTTAATTTTGTTTGTTTTTTTTTTTTTTTTATTTTAATAGTATAAGTAATTATTTTTGGTTAAAATATTTATATTTGATTTTAAAACTATCTACTAATTTAATGTTATACATGGAGCTTATAAAAATACAATTATTTAATATTTCTTTTTTATATAGTTTCTTTTATTAAATGGCACTTATATTATGTATTAGTATGATAAAAAAAATTTATTGGAGTCAATTTTTCGAAGAATATATTAAAAAAGTTGAGCGAATTTGTGAATCAACTTAATTTATATATTTTTTTTTAATATATAAGCATTATATTATATATATATATAATATTCCATCTACTAGATTCTGTTATATAAATGTTACAATTTCATATAAATTAGGTATATAAACTTTACACATTACAAATTTTAAGGTCAAATCTAAAATGTTTAAGGAAATACAGATTTTTAATATAAAAACTTAAAGTTATTTAAAACTCATTATAACAAAGATATGTTTTCCAATTTTTCATTCATTATTTTGCGGATGACATAGATTTCTTGAGATTTACAATGCTTTCAAAATAAACGAAAAAAGTCAAAATTTTTTGAAGTATAAAAATCAAAATTAAATAAATTAAGAGTATTATTGTAATTTTTATTAAAGTAAAGGAATACTTTTAAAATAAAAGTTCTTAAATATTTCATTTAAGTACTTAATAAAAATGTTATGCTATTTTATTAAAGGTTTCTTTTTATAGCATATTTTGAGGAAGATTAATTAGACTATAAAATTTGTTCATATTTAAAACTATAAATCTGTAATAGGGCCGGCTAGACTTAATTTCGATGAATTTCCTTGCATTTGTGAAGTTATATGAGTTATAGTATTTTGATTTTGTGTAGATGAATAATCGCCAACATTAGCAGTATTGTGAATTCCACCATTTGATGAATTATGACGAGATGACGTTCCGTTCATAAAATGTCTTTGTTGTACACCATTAAAATTTTTTTTATCACTATCAACACTGCTATTATGTTTTTCATCATTTAAATGAAATTTTTTAACAACTTTTTCCAACCTAAAAATAAAAAAAAAATAATGAAGGTTTAATAAAAAAATGCCAGTGTCAGTATATGGCTAACTTTTTATCAAATTTAGTTTGTCAAACCCACGCTATAATGCGATTCTCAGCATCCTTCTTGCTTGCTAACGCTTCTTGAAGTTCACGTCTCAATTCTAATGTATCTTTTTCCATTTGTAATACTTGCTGATCGTTATCTGAATTTAAAATTTCATTATCTTGTGCATTGGGATAAAAATTTTCTGTAATTCTTAGCTGCCCATTGAATTGTGGAACATTTGCATTTCTAGGATTATTTGATGTGCGTTGAAAAGATGGCGATTTACATTCATTTGGTGAAGATATTGAGCTCAATGTTTCATCATGATGATTCAATACATTATAATGCAAATTAAAACTATTACGTTTTGGACGAACATTTTCTGTTAAAATAGCTGAAGTTGAACGCCTTTGTAAAGGTGTTGATCTTGATAATTCATTTTCTTGAATTATTTCATTTGTTCTACTATTTAATAAAGAACCTAGAACTTGTTTCATATATTTATTTTCTGCTTCAAGTTGAGTTATGCGTTTATTCGCTTCCTTTCTATCACCTTTTAAATGCTGTATTTGAGCCTGAAAATTAAAAATATATTTAGAATAGAGATATAATGGGAAGAATAGAGAAATTATAAGATTAATATACTTTTAATTCTTCAATATCTCGCATCATTCTTAAATTACTTTCACCAAGTGACCACGATCTTTCTTCGACCATTGATTTTACCCTGTAAAGATTTAATAAATGTAATTCTGTAATAATAGTTTTAACTGAATATGATTATCGTTCATACTTAAATATTTTAAATATGAGCAAATAAATACATACTAGAAAATAAAAAACATATTCAAAAATATTTTAGTTTTAAATTTACCTGCTTAGAAGAGCATCCTCTCGCACTCTTGCTGCCTCCTTTACTTCACGCACAACGTCCGTCATCATGCCTGGTGTGTATACACCTAAAAATTAATAATTGTATTATACTTAAATTAAAATAATTATTGATTTTTCCACCAAGTTTCTATTTTTTGAACAAAACAAAACAAAATCTTACAAAACAAAAGAATATACAAAAAACAAATACAATATTTATAATAATTTTACATTATAATTATTCTAAAAGGAATACCTGAGTGATATGTTGGAGCAGGACTATGTGTACCAAAAGCAAAGCCACCCATATGCATAGGTTGACTATGTGTGCTAAGCCCGCTCAAGCTATCTCTACGGTGTCTCATACCACCCCAACTAGGTGTATTTTTTAAAGCTTCAATATCGACTTTAAGATACCAATTGAAACACAACGAAAAAAAAAAAGATACAGAAAATACACATACAAAATAGCTTGATGGTGAATATATTTAAATAGATAATTCAAAGAAAAAAAAAATCTAAATATAAACTACATAATTACATATAAAATAATGTGAATGAAAAAAATAAAATTAAAACTTTTTTCTTATACAATAAATTTTGTGATTTCTAATGAGATTTAATTGTACTAAAATTGTGAATATATTTTAGTACATATTATTTATTTCAAAATATTAATTATGATACAGAGAAAATAATAGTTTTTTAGTAAAAAATTTGAAACTTACTTTTTGTATCATGAAGATTGCGACAAATTTTTGAATTTGTTTCGTGTAATAAATTTATTTGTTCCATTAATGTTAAAAATAATTTTTGATTACTCATATTATTACTATTGTTATTATTATTTTGATTTGATAAATTATCTTGTTCTGGATTTAAACTTGGCGTATTTTGGCCACTTAATTTAGATCCTTCATGATCTGATGGATTTATTAAGCACGGATCACTAAATCTAAATAAAAAATATATAATTTATATTTAAAATGTTTAACAATTGTCTGCATGCTAAATTAAGATTTGATTGGCTACATTTTCTATAAAAACAAAAATATAAAATATTACTTTATTTACTAGTATTTTATTAATAATGGCAGTAACATTTTGTCATCATAAAATTAATCACGTTGCAATATAGAATTACAATTTTCGATTAATTTAATAAACGGTATAATATAAAAGTTCTGGTCCCTGTATGCAACGTATTGTACATTTTAATATACTAAATGATTTTTTTAATATATTTTAAAAAAAAATGTAGAAAACAAAGTTTAAATCATGATTGAAGGATTTAAATTACAATCAATTGAATTTAATGAAAATTATTCTTTAATTTGCACCTATCGATTTGATAATTTTTTCGGAAAGTTTGTTGTAGCAGTGGTCTCTAGTATGCATTTACAATATTCATGATAAATTGAAAATATTGCGATAATAAATTTGCTTGCAAATTTTTGAGATTTTACTATTGTATTGAGCTTCTTCATTTTATCATTGATAAACTATAAAAAAAAAAAAAATTCGTGTACTCTTGTAAAAGTGTAAGAATTCTTGTGTTATACACATGTAAAGTGCTTTACATTAAACAAAAAAAAAAAACAAAAAATCAAAAATCAATTTTCATACCTTCTATTTGGATCACTTGCATCGAAATTACCATCAATCACGATATTTTCGCCTGTTGTTGATAAATTTACAATTGGCGGTAAACTAGCAAAATCACATGAAGCTTCATTATTTATCATGGCATGTGAATTTTTTAGTAAACTATTAAAATAATGTGAATTTGGAGCAATATTACGATAATCAGTGACAGTCTACAAAAAAAAAAAACAATAATAATAAATATAAAAAATTTTGTTAATCAACTATTATTTTTTTATTATATTTATATGTATATATGTACCTTTTGAAAACCTTGGCTGTATGGCGAATTATATATTGATGGCTTAATAAAAAATTGTGGTTGCTGTTGTTGTTGTTGTTGTTGTTGTTGATAAGATTTTGTATCCTTATTACGATTTGATGTTGCTGTATTATTACCAGAAAAACTTGATGTATTATAATCCAAAAATTCTGATGATGAAGATAATTGTGGAGTATTTGAATCTTTTAAACATGTTTCAAGCCATGCATCTAAATGATTTTTCTGTAAATCTGTATTTAATTGTTGTTGTTGTTGTTGTTGCTGCTTTTCTTTATTTGTACTTGATGAACGAGATTTTGATTTTTTTCTTTTATTAACATTATTCGAATGCTCATTATCTAAAAAAAAAGAAAGAAAATTTTTGGAATCTGTTAGTTAATTATAAATTAGTACTTAAGATTATAATTTTTAAATAATTTTTAAAAATTTTATTCTAATTTAAATTTAATTTTGTTCTCTGTTTTTTCTTAGATTAGAAGACAATATTGATTACTTCTTTTTATTTATAGCACAATTTATGACAATATTCTTTGAAATATTTGATTGTGTTTCCGGTTTTTAAAATAATTTTTTTTGTCCAAAAACTGAAAAATGAATAATTGTATTCTACTACATACTTATATTTTCATTAGATCGGTTATAGTTGCAAAATATGTATGAATTTTTTTTCTTTAGAGTGTTTTACCGCAGCAAATTTCATAAAATATTGCGCTAAAATTGATTATTTTTCAAAATGAATAATTGTTCTTGTAAAAATTCAATCATAAATTGTAGATAAAATTCATGGATCAATGATTTTGGCCTTGCTTGAAAAGGATTTTTGTTTATAAAATTGAAAGTTTTTGAAGTTTACGCCCGCACTTACAAGTAAGTATTTAATTTTTTCCCATTTAAAATTGTAATTTGTCCTCAATCTAATGTTGGGACAATTTTTTTTTTGAATTCTTGGAGAGTGATTTAAAAACTCCTTTGCTACAAAATGAAACAACGGTCTCAGTGAATTAATTACTTAAAATTCCAAAAAAAAAAAATTACAATAAAATACAATAGATGTGTAGTGCCTGAATCCTAGTATAGATTCAATTTTAATATTTTTATAAGCAAGTTTTAAGAAATCCAATTTAAAAAAAATATTCATGCACATTTTTACAATTTTTTATTAAAATTTTAAATTTATAATGCACGTCTGCAGCAAACTTTCAATCCTTTATGCAATTAGATTAAAAACTAAAATAATTATCCAATTTAAAATACCTTCTTGTACCATTTTAAAAGAAAGAAAACTTTTAATTATAAAATTCTAGATATTAATGCAGAAAATTAACTTTTTATTCGATAATACAAAAAAAAATAATAGGTATAATAAAATTGAACTTTCGTTTCCAATAGAATTATGATTCTTGTTTTAATTAGTGCTTCATCTGCTTTGAATTGAAAAATCGAGATTTTATTTTAAATCCTACTCAATTATTTCGTATCAGTTTTTCATACCTTCCATAGGGTACTGTTTATATATACGACAAAATCTAAGATTAAGATCGTATATGTAGTCTGATGAATGTTTACATCTCAGACTGAAATTATTTGTTAGCGATCAGACTTTACGTCAAAATTTGATAATCTGATCAGGCAAAATCTGATGTCGAACAAAGTTTACATTTACAACTTTCGTCAGATTCAGATTAAATCGTAAATTTTTCGTATTTGCTAATAAATTTTGCGTGTATTTAATTAAAATTTTATACAATCAACCGTATCTCATAAAATGTTGTAATGAACTTGCTTTTTCTTTCTGATTGTTTTGTTTGAATTTGACAAGACTTATGCGTCCTTTCTTGTCATGAAATTTTAAAAATTTCCACCCTATCGCCATTTTTAAATTAAGGATACGTCAGTTACTTGTCTAAATAATAATGTTCTTATAATATTATGTACAATGATTTTTTCGTGCATTTATAACATATATGTGAATTTGTAAGGATGTATTTAATTTAAGTTAATTGAAATAAATTGATTAAAATGCGCAAAATATTTTATAATTAAATTTATCACGTAACAGAGGTGTAAATAATTTTTTGAAAAAAAAAAACATTCTTTATTTTAAGGAAACAATGTTTAAAATTTTGTTTGTATTTCAAGTAAGCACGTAATTAAAAAAAAACTAATTTAGTAACTGCATGATAATTTCATTCCCCTGTCAAATTAGGATCTAAATTACAGGCTTGTAAATAACAGGTTATTAAAGAGATTTCGCGCTTAAATTAACATTTCAATGTAAGTATGGTTTTAGCGGTCGCGCCCATTCAATTTTTAAAATAAATCATAAATCTTTTATTATTTTTACATGTAGTAACGGCACTATAACTGTTATGCTCAATTTATTGATTTCGGAATATAAAATTCTAATTCTCTTATTATTTATTACTTACTTATCTTCCAAAATATTACAATAAAAATTAGATTAATAAAATTTAGAATAATAAACGAAATTGAATGCTAGCAATAAATTGCTTTCCGTTTCTTCAAACATTTTCAAAGTTATTGTTCAATAAAAAAACTTTTTTACACATTTTTCTTTTCGTGCTATTCCTAACACGTTATAATTTAATAATTTTTTTTTTTTTTTAATTAAATTACAAAACATAAGTAATAATGTTTAACAAGCAATTAATTTTTTTGTTTTTACCGTAAACAATAAATTTCTAATCATCGAATCTTTGTTCTTGTGGCGCTTTCGATTCATCGAAGAGGAAAATTATACACATATACATATGTATATATGCATATGTATGTAAAAGGAAAATTTTGTGTTGATTGCATGAAGAATATTGTAGCAAAATAAATAAAAAAATAATAGAATACTAATTAATATAGAATTTATGTAATATTTTTTTATTTGGATTATATTGTTATGTAACCGTTCTAAAATTATTTCCGAATTGTAAAAAATGCAGTAAGAATATTAAGTAATTGAATTTTTAAGAAACAAACTAAATTGTATATACATAGATGTGGCGATTAATTACACATAGGTGTAGTCGTGGTTAAATGAGTGAATTTGTTTGTCAGGACAGGATTCAGATATCAAACATTTTATTTTAAATAAAAAATTACTAGAGTTCAAAACAAATGTCTACTTTTTAAGAGTGACATGAATTGTATTTTCAAAAATGACGAAAATGTTGACAAATCTAATTTTACAAAACGTGTTGGCACTTATCGCCGTTACACTACATATTTAATAGAAAATTGACTTAATTTAAGCGCCCACTTAAGTGCTTTGATGAATTGCAGCGATTAGTTGATATCCGCTGCAGAGCTCCACTGAACACTTTATTTTTGCTTTAAAAAATTATTATATTTGGTATGAATGACGGCTGTCAGTTTTAACTTATATTTTTTTCAAAAAATTTTTTTTTTTTTTTTCAATGGTTGATAATTTTTCCGAAATATAATTTTTTTTAATTCTTGTGCAAGAAGAAAATCAGCTTTGATAAAGTGCGTATGTAGCGCACGAAATATATTAGCGAAAAATAAAAGTATTTTATTCCGAATAAAAGGAAGTTTTCTTTTCACACCAATTAAAAAAAAGTATATTTTTTTATTTTTATTCAAAATTTTTAAACCGCTTGAGTTAAGTGATTAAAAAAATAAGCGTTCAGCAGAAAATTGCTTCAAGCGCTTTAATAATTTTAAATCGCTTAAGTTAGCAGAACGCGCCCAATGATATTTTACGTCTAAGCGAAATTGTGCTTAAAATATATTATTGCCATACTAGATATATTCAAGGTTTCTAATATTTCTATTTATATTTCTACAACTAATTTTAATTTTTAAACTAAGTAAAACAATTTTTGTTAATATTTGTATTATAATTGTAATTCTTAAATATTTTTTTTTTCCTCTCGCATATAAATTACTTAGTTAATAAGTAAATGTAGATTTAAGAAGAATTATTGTAATAACTCATTTCTGAATTTATTCATATGAATAAAAATGACAATATTAAATGTGATAAATGATCTCTCTCAAAAAGAATAAAAATTATCTTTCTCAAGTAAAATCAAAATATCAAGTCACTTTACCTCAGAACAAAGTCTGTTTGTACGAGTATAATAAATATTTTATCAACATTTGCACATACCAACCACATACGTATTTTCATAATAGAACCCAATTATTTTTATAAGAGAAATAAAACTTTTCAATTGGATTAATTAGAAAATTACCAACCTTTTATTAAATTTAATAAAAATTTCAAGAGAGAACAATTTATATTTTGATCAATGATTGTAGATTTTAAATTCTATAAGAAAATATATCAAAAATAATTTTAACGTACCTAATATTGTAATAGTTGTGCATTAAAAATTCTTTCAAACACAAGAAAGTGAGTTCAGTTTTTGAAATAATTCTTTAGATTAGTAAAAAAAAAAATTAATATTTTGACTACAATTTGTATTTCGAAATTGGGACAGATTTCAGCGGGCCATCGCTCATATACGAAAGCTACTCGTATAATGCGAGAGAGAACAAGTTTGCTCTTCTTATTTATTTTTATAGAAATCGTACGAAAGCGCGGCGAAAATAAATTCACATAGAAAAAAATTTATTCTAAACGTTCTATTTATCACATCACACATTTGTGTGCTTATCATATTTCACCTAATTTTGCTGAAACTATTTTTGAAGCAAATATGCGCCGAAAACTACTCTACATGGAACTGAATCGGAAATGGAGCTATATATAAATATTAGCGTTACTAATTTCAAAGTTTACAAAAATTTTACTTTTTATTATGAAACCAAATATAAGAAAATTGAATTCTGTACATCAGAAAAATCTCACTAAATAAAATTTTCATAAAATATATAAAAAAAATTGTAACGAAAAAAGCATTTTTTTTTTTAAGAAGAGGGCCACAAGTAAAAGAAAAAGATTGAGAACCACTACTCTACAAACCAGAATCATTTTACGCTTTAGTTAAAATTAATATTTTTATAATTGTTGTGTGTACATAAGACAAACATCAACAACTACAAGTATCTATGTATATAAAAAAAAGTACACAAAGTAGCACAAGTAGAAATTTATTCGCGCAAATCGCTTTGCAAATCCGTTAATTTACTATCATTTTAAGTTTTATATTTTCTTTGCTGTTCTTTTTATATTTTTTTAATTTTATTTTGATTCCGTTTCATTCGTTTATCATTTAATTAGTATACACCAGTAATTTGCAATTCTTTTTAACTATATTAATAGAATAGTATTCTAAAGGTCAAGTAATTTGTGTTTCGCTTTACGGGTTTACGGCACTGTATAGATGATATAGAATTT